TTTTTCTAACATCATGAATATAGCTGATTAAATATACTGTTCTTGTATTATTATTTATAAAGGTTGGAATACATTGTTGCATTAGTTAGGAATCCTTACTGTTAACGATATCTTTGGCCATAAACCAAATAGTATTTTTCGAGGCTCGGCCAATTTAAAAGATTTAGGTTTAGCTAACAGTGCAAAATAATCTGTAGAATAATAATAATAAATAATAAGATAATAAACACTGTTAATGAAAGTAACATCAAAGCTAGTATACGGTGTAACTTACTTATGGAATACACAAACACTAGTTGTTGGTTCCAAAAACTGTCGTAGATTTAAAAATTGTTGAACAGCTTCACATCAGCATAACTGTATATAAGTAAATCTTTCCACAATCCTCCCTCAAAATGTCTCGTGACCAGTAAAAATCCCATTAAGCGAATTGAACAGTTTCGATTTCAAATTCGATGACGAGGAACCCACTTTGAGACTAATAATGGTTGGAGACGGCTTGAATGGGTAATGAAGAAAAACTTTAATATAAGTTTAACATAACAGCAAATGTACAAAGTTTCGACAAGGATACCTGATGATGACAAAACCTTGTCGAAACGTTGTACATTTGCTGTTTTGTTAAACTTATATTAAAGTTTGTCTTCATTATCCATTCAAGCCGTCTCCAACCATTATTTGACTTGAACAGTGTTCTAATGTCATTAGTACACTTTTATCATGAACTCTTTTCACAAAGAAAATATAAACTTAATGGAAGCTGACTTAATCTTTTATATTTCTTTGTGTGTTGTGTTCGTGATTAGCATAAGCTGACACAATAATTATCTTCCGCTATTGTATTTGATGCGATGTTCAAAAATGTTGATAAGATATTCGTTTTATTTGATTTCAGTTTGAGATATTAATATCGGTAAACTTACATTTGGACTTGTACCTTGTTTATTCTACTTTTAATTACTAAAACTTCTATTGAGCAGAATCTATTTTTGCTATATATATATATA